TCAGGGAACTGATCCCTGGAAATCCCTGGAACTTCAGAGCATTGAATGTTCTGTTCCTTACTTAGGCTGAGGAGATGGTACACGTATGAATTTTTTTTTCTATCTTATTAGTCTACTCTACTTTAGAAGTGGGGTCTTAGCTGCAGCACTCGGGAGAGTGGCCCCTGTACCCCCGTCAGAGCAACAATAGAGCTGTCCCTGATGGTGGAGGTGTGGGAGAGCCAGGAAAATTGGGCCCTTTCTCCTTGCTTGTGCTACAAGAGGCGAACTAACCAGGGCAATGCGCCCCCTGGTGGTGAGTACAGGGAAAGCGGGCAGACTGACCGAACCACTTCAAAATCCACCCCATCTGTGATCTACTGAGCCATGGGAAGGGACTAGTCCTAAAGACCCAAAGCCGCAGGATCTCCACGACTCAGGGCAACAACAAGAAATCCAAGAGGAGTTCCAGTGAGGACCCAGCGTCGATAGTGTTGCAGAAGCCGGAAGCCTCAAACCAGACCCTTTACAACGAACACTTGCAAGTAAAGATGTTTGGCTAGAAGGATTTACTGCCCGGCTCACTGTGTCACACTACAGCTTCCATGACGAGACTGATTTTTCTTTCTTTTTATGTCTTAAATTTTATTTTTATTTTATTGGGGGAGGGGTTGCCAGGGCCGAGGGCAGATATGAAGGGACGGGGAAATGAATGGTATGGGGATGCATGATGTGAAAAGACACAAAGAATAAATAAAATAAAAGGAAAAAAAAGAAGTGGGGTGTTGTTTTGGCTCACCACCACCCCATGTTGGGATTATGGGGTATGGATGCACTCTCGCACCCACGGACTCTGTGAACTTTAACCCCCCCTCCGATCTTCCTGAAAGTCTAGCGGTGCCAGCGCCATTGATTAGCTGCTATTCTGTGTTGCTGGAGCGCACTTCAAGTCCAAGCCATGGACGCACAAGGGGAACATTCGGAAGACACTTGGACGGGGGACCTGTTCTGAAACCTATCCACAAACAGATTTTAGTATGAGTTAAAATTATTTTAACATTTCAAAGTAGAATTTAAAGATCATCATTTTGATATGATTAAAACATTTGTAATGTTTAAAGCGCCTTGTAGCATCTTTAAAATGTAAAGTTTGAGGGGAGGGTCTAGAGGTGAGGCATCCAGAGATACTTCTACCTGTGTCTGAGTGGAGGAAAAGAAAATGGAGCCCCTAATGCCCTCAGAGGACACAGTCACAGCAGGCTGGCCAGCAGCCCGCCAGGACAGCTGGTATATCCACTCCCTGGCCTTTGACATCTCAATACACATACATGTGTATGTTGAGGCCAAAGGTCAACCTTGAATGTTGTTTCTCCAATGCTGCCATCCTGTTTTAGAGGCAGGGTCTCTCACTGACCTGAAACTCATGGCTAAGCTGCCAGGCCAGCGAGCAAACCAGAGAGACAGGATTCCCTCTCCCTGCCTCCCCAGGGCTAGGATTGTCAGCGCACACCACAGTACCCAAAGTTTTCCCTTGAATTCTGGGGAATGAACTTGGGTCCTCTTGCTTGCAAGGCAGGCCCTTAATGCTCACCATCTCAGCTCACCAGTGTAAGCAGAAGCAGCCTGGGAATCGGATTGCCATAAGTTTGAGACCATTTTAGTCTACTTAGCAAGTTCAAGGATAGCCAGCACGACATAGTGAGACCCTGACTCAACAAACAACAAACAGCAAATGCGTGCACACACACGCTTGGTGTTCCTCCGCTCTAAACAACAAACAAGGTTGTGGAACTGGGTCACTTTATACTGATGTGTTCCCTCTACAAAGCAAAGGTTTCATCACCCATGCACGTGCTGTGCTTGGTCACGTCCCCTCCATCACTCTTTCTTAATCCCCTCCCCGAATCTTTTGCAACCTCCACCGTCCCCTTTCACATCCACGTCCACTTTTTAAAGGAGCAGCCACACAACTGTCACGATATTATTTAAATTTAATCTTTTAAGTAATTGTTTATTAAAACACCAGTATTTTTTATTTTATTTTATTTTTTGCAGCATTGGAGACAGAAGTCACAGCCTTGGCATGCTAGGCAAGAGCTCCACCACTGAATTACACTCTACACTCCTGCCCCAAACCCCATTCATCAGCCTGTAGGTCTTGTTTCTAGCCATTTTGTTACATTGGCTTATTAGTTCTAGGAAATCGTGGGAATCTCATACATAAAAACACATTTATGCATTGTAGCATTTACTCCCTCCCAATACTTAGAGTTACTTGTTTTTCTTGCCTTTCTGAAGGGGTTGCCATCACATGACACCCTCCCCTGTGTGCCTGTCTGTGCCCTTATGTTCCCTCTGAGAGGTAGCACCCTCTCTGTATTTGACAGGATTGTCTCTTGTAAATATCTAGTTTCTGAGCAAGGTAGTACATGCAGGGCCAGGCTATTGAACTTCATTACATGAACCCTCAAGAATGACTTGTCCTTTGTCTTAGTTAGGGTTTCTATTGTTGCAACAAAACACCATGATCAACAAGCAAGTAGGGGAGGAAAGGGTTTATTTGTCTTCCAGATCATAGTGCATCATTGGAGGAAGTCCAGACAGGAACTCAAGCAGGGAAGGAACCTGGAGGCGGGAGTTGATGCAGAGGCCACCGAGGGGCGCTGCTTACTGGCTTGTTCCCCATGGCTTGCTCAGCCTGCTTTCTTATAGAACCCAGGAGCACCTGCCCAGGGGTGACAGCACCCAGCATTGGTCCTTCCCCATTGATCACTAATTGAGAAAATGCCTCATGGCTGGGTCTCATGGAGGCTCCTTCACCGAGGCTCCTTCCTATCTCGTGACTCTAGCTTGTGACAAGTTGCCACAAACCCAGCCAGCCCATCATTCCTGTCCAGCACGCGGAGGGGACTTGTTAAATCACTCTTCCTGGAATGTCTTGTGACAAAACTCGGCAACTGTAATACTTCTATGCAAGGCTCCCTCTAGAGAACAGGCTTCTGAGACACCCACGTGACAGAGAAGCAGTGGTTACGCACACACCCTCCCCTCCAACAAGTGACCAGACGGCCACCTATTCCCTCCCACACCAGTCTCTGCATCTGTCCTCCAGCGCTGCCCATCCACAGTCAATGGAGGGCTGGGCTCTAATTGGCTCTGTACCTAGAGCCCAACAGAGGACAGGTACAGCACAGAAAACCATGAGGTCACTACTAAGGGGCAGACTAAGAGGGTTGAGAGGGTGCAGGAGGCTATAGGAGGAAAAAGAGAAGATGGGAGACTGAGTTTGTGCTGTGTATTTACTTAGGGGTCCAGGACCAGGGACTAGTCCTCAGGAAGCCAGAAGGACAAAGACTAGGCATTAAGCCTGGTGACGGGGGGAAGCTGTCAGACTGACTTCCGAAGAGGGCAGATGGGGAAGAAAACCTACCAGAGAGGAGATGAGCATGGAGCCAGGTGTGGAGTCCCATTGGGAGGAGGTATCTGGGATCCTCCACAAGTTGCAGGCGTTTTCAGTGAGCTGAAGTGTGAAAAGCATTGAGCCCCAGGACAGAGCAACTAGACAGCCGGGATACCTGGATCAGCTCTGCCACCTGAGGTCTCTGGCCAGTCTTAGATCTTGCACTGGCAACACACAGGGATACAGCAGCTGGACTGGTGGCAGCAGGATTTGCAGCCCCCACAGGAGCCAGAGTCACCCTTGCAGCCTCCACAGCTGGAGCAGGAACAGGCAGGCACACAGCAGCACACAGGTTTGCAGCAGCAGGAGCCACAGCCCCCACAGCTGGAGCCACAGCCTCCACAGCTGGAGCCACAGCCCCCACAGCTGGAGCAGGAACAGGCAGGCACACAGCAGCACACAGGTTTGCAGCAGCAGGAGCCACAGCCCCCACAGCTGGAGCCACAGCCCCCACAGCTGGAACCACAGCCTCCAGAACAGCCACAGCAGGTCATGGTTCTGATGTTGGCCTGAGAATGGAGTACGTCAGAGGATCAGGAATAGAGGAAAATTAGGACTCAGGCTGCGCATGAATCCATGTCTCACTTTTCACACAGTCCAGGGGGCTTTGGAGAACTTCTAGAGGGAAGGCTGGGTGTACAGCCCTGCTCTGCTGAAGGACATGATAGTTACTTACAGACTGCTCCATGTTAGACAAGAGTGCCACCTGCTGGAAGCTAGGTGGAAAGGCTCCAGAGAGAAGGGCTTGGTGAGGGTAGACATCCATTGGGTGCTCCCAGAAGAGCTGCAGGCCACTGTAAGGCATCTGAGAAAGCCAGAGCCTTCAAAGAGGGTTGTCAGAGGGGTGGGTCTGACCCAGCTAGGAGCTGGCACAGCTTCAGAGCCTCTTTTGGCCAAGTGGTTTGCTGTCCCTCCAACCAAATCTAGTAAGGCGCAAAGGGAGCAGAGTCCCAAGAGAGGGAGGAGACAGGAAGAAGGAGGTGCGAGGCAGGGGCGACCTTAACTGCCCTAGGCACCACCAGGCTGCTGGAGCCCCACACACAACAACAAGAAAAGGGGGAAACCATGAAGTGATCGCGAGTGACAGAATGAATGAGGCAGGGTTGCAGTTGGTTCATGTGATATGTTTTATTGGTTTGTGATATGCAATTTAAGATAAAGCAGGGGTTGTTATTTCTTGGCATACTAGTCTGAGAAAGTCTTTATACTCACCTTATTGTGGCAGCACCCAAGGGTTGACTCTTGCTAAGTTGAGACAAGGCAGAGATGGTCTCATGAGGGCAGATGGCTAAGTGGACGGGCTATGGTGAGGACACTATAGGTAGTATGACTCCAGAGAAGAATTTTCTAGGAGGCAGTGGAAGAGAAGATGGCCTCTTCTTGGGAACTGGAAGCCAATTTTTACTTGGTCCCGTGGGAAGCAGGGGTGCTTAGGGAACATGCATTATGATCTGAAACCCGGTGACATAATTGAAGGGCACAGCTTGAGGGTCAAGTTGAGAGCCTCAGATCTTGTATTAGCAGGATGTGGGGACACAGCAACAGGACTTCAGCAACTGGACTAACAGCAAGAAGACCCACAGCCTGAAGAGCAGCAGGGCTTGCAACAGCTGGACTGGCAGCAGGACCCGCAGCCTGAAGAGCAGCAGGGTTTGCAGCAGCTGGACTGACAACAGGAACCGCAGCCTGAAGAGCAGCAGGGTTTGCAGCAGCTGGACTGACAGCAGCAGGGCTTGCAGCAGCTGGACTGGCAGCAGCAGGGCTTACAACAGCTGGACTGGCAGCAGCAGGGCTTACAACAGCTGGACTGGCAGCAGCAGGGCTTACAACAGCTGGACTGGCAGCAGCAGGGCTTACAACAGCTGGACTGGCAGCAGCAGGGCTTACAGCAGCTGGACTGACAGCAGGAACCGCAGCCTGAAGAGCAGCAGGGCTTGCAGCAGCTGGACTGACAGCAGCAGGGCTTACAGCAGCTGGATTGACAGCAGCAGGGCTTGCAGCAGCTGGACTGACAGCAGCAGGGTTTGCAGCAGCTGGACTGGCAGCAGCAGGGCTTGCAGCAGCTGGACTGACAGCAGGACCCACAGCCTGAAGAGCAGCAGGGCTTACAACAGCTGGACTGGCAGCAGCAGGGCTTGCAATCCCCACAGCTGGAGCAGGAACAGGCAGGCACACAGCAGCACACAGGTTTGCAGCAGCAGGAGCCACAGCCCCCACAGCTGGAGCCACAGCCTCCACAGCTGGAGCAGGAACAGGCAGGCACACAGCAGCACACAGGCACACAGCAGGTGGAGCCACAACCCCCACAGCTGGTGCCACAGCCTCCACAGCTGGAGCCACAGCCTCCAGAACAGCCACAGCAGCTCATGGTTCTGGTGTTTGGTTGAGGATGGAGTAGGTCAGAGAAGCAGGTGTAGAGGAAGATGTACAGATGTGCAGCCTCTGAGCCTGAGGCCTTTATATCCCTGCCCAGGTCAGGTGTAAACTGTGCATGGTCACTTCCTGGTTCCTGTCTGTGTCATAGTCTAGGACTCTCTTCTGTATGGTGTTTTCTAGTACCTCTGGTTTCCTTGTGCCTTTCCCAAACAGACTGCCATGTCCCCCTAGGAATGTTGCTCCTCAGTAAACATCAACAAGTGTCCAGTAGCATCCCCCTTCTTTGGGGTCATAGGGAAGCACGGAGACAGGAATGAATGACCCAGGTACAATGTACTTGCTAGTTTATTTGAGTACAGCTTCTGTATTTTCCAAGACCACTTTTTAAAATTTTCTGTAAAGACAGGGTTTCTCTATGTAGGTAGCTCAGGCTGGCCATGAATCCATTAGGTAGCTCAGGCTGACCTGGGACTTGCAGCTGTCTATCCTACCTGCCTCAACCCCTCTAGCGCTAGAATTATAGGTGTGTTCCAACACACCCGATCCAACATTGCCTTCTAAAGATATATTTCTTGCTAAAGCAGAACCAGGGAACTCTGGTCCTGACCTTTAGAAGTTCTACCTAAGGACTGATTCTTCAGGTCTAGAGCCTGGGCTCAACTCTGATGTCTGCTGGGCTGCTGTCTGCTCAAGACATTGTGGGAAGCCTTGCATGTAGACTGAAACACCATCAAAAGACTTGGTCCCAGAGCTCAGCTCCACTCCACATAGTGTGTATCTCTGTCTAGAAAAGGCACATTCTAGGCCATTCGGACTGTCACCCAGTGATGGACAAGTGTAGGTAGTATACCAACTGTCCAATGATACTTAAATACAAATTTGTGTAAATATGTCTAGAATCCTGCCTGGGGTCTGAGCAGCGAAAATGTTCTATGGTGTTCCCCCAGAAGCCACATGGTGGCACTGGAGAGCCCGCTGTCCGGCAGCCTCACACTCAGAGGTTCTTTCCTCTGGCCTTTCCCGCTCCACGCTCCACACTCCCTATCTTGTTGGAGAAGGAGCAGCTGTATCTGGATGCAGGTGTAAAGATGCCAAAGAAACCTTGGCCAGCACGAAGTGCACCTAGGAGCACCCAGACCATCCAGGATGAAACCTGACTCTGGCCTCCCCTGAAGGCCGGGTCTCAAAAAGGCACAGGGTCCTCTAGCTCCCTTCTATCTTCTACTCATATCCAAGTACTGAAATAACTCACCAGATTCTGTCGGAGCTCCTCTCACTATGTTTGACCAGGCTGCCTCTGAGGACAGAGGGGACCTCACACCCGCAGACCCTTGTTCTTCAGACTCCATCTATCGTCTTTAGAATTTTAGGGCTAACCAGCAAAGCGGGGAATTTTAAGCCATCCCCACTGAACCATCAACACGGCACACACACCAGGAATCTCCTGCTTTAATAGGTGCCATCCCTAAAGGGGATTTGAGTCCTGTTCTTTAGGACACGTGTGTTTATATGTTGTACACATGCTTTCACATAAGTGTGCAATATTTATTGCGTATATACAAACTTTATCTTTTTATGTTTAAAATACTAGCGTAGCTCAGTGCCTTGCTTTTCCTCGGGGCGTGGGCATCTCCTGCAGAGTCAGCATCAGAGAGCAGTCCAATGAGCTCTAAAGACAGCAGACTAGATCTGGGCCTGCTGATGCACACCTGAGGCAGGAGGACTGCCACAAGTTCCATGCTTGGCTACAGAGCAAGACCCTGCTGAAAACAGAACAAAACCCGGAAAAGATTAAACATGCAGCTATGACTGTTTCTAAAACAATTTTATGAAACCGGAAACAACTTTTTTTTTAGCAAGCTTGAAAACTTGGGGGAATGGACACATTTCAGAAAGAACGAAACTCAGGACAGGGAACCCTAATAGCTCTATGGGCTGACAAGGGAGGGGAACTTGATTGGGGGAGGGGGAGGGAAATGGGAGGCGGTGGCGGGGAAAAGACAGAAATCTTTAATAAATAAATAAACGGAAAAAAAAGAAAGAACAAAACTGCCAAATGCATAGGAAATAATTTTGAAAAATTGGACAAACCAGTAAAAACCTCAGAAGGCACTGAAACATTCCTCAGATCTTAAGCCCCATAAAATCCCAAACACAGCAGGTTCACACCTGAGTTCTCATAGATGTTCCTCTTAATAAGAAAAATAACCCAAAAGGGAAAGATAAAGACTCCTAAAGCAAGGAAGGGCTGCCAGATAAAAGATAGGGACCCACATCGTCACCCGCCAAAGTACACAACTTCTAAATTTAAATTTAAAAATCCAATATGGCTATTTTGTACAACAAGGCACAACCAAAGAGAGCCTATATGAGAACACAGGAAGGACTCACTGCTAGAAAACATCACTATAAGCCAGATGTGGTGGCCCAGATGTGGTGGCTGCCATGCCCATGACCCCAGCAGTCAGGAAGATGATTGCTTACAGTGTGAGGCCAGCCTGGGCTACACAGTAAGGCTGTGTCTCAAAAGGGGAGAGGAAAGGGAGGAGAGGAGAGGGGACGGGAGGGGAGTGGAGGAGAGGAGAGGGGAGGGGAGGGGAGGGGAGGGGGACTAAGGAGATGGTGGCTCAGTTGGGAAAGTGTCCACCTTGTAAACATTAGGACCTGACTTTTTTTCAGTCCCAGAACCTGATTAAAAATGCCAGGAATTGCTGGGAATAGTGGCAGAAGCCTTAACTCCTAGCACTCAAGGCCAAGGTAGGCAGATCTTTATGAGCTGGAGGCTAGCCCGATCTAGACAACGAGTTCCAGGACAGCCTGGGATACAGAGTAACATCACATTTAAAAACAAAACATCCAGGACCACTAGTGCGTGCTTGTATCCCAACGCTGAGTAGGACATTGTAAAGGAAAACTCTTAATCTTCGCAGCCCGTACAAGGTTTTGTAAGAACTTTTATCTTAGCCACAAGCAACACGGATTTACACAAACTGTACTTTCAGTTAGCTCTTTTGTAATCTAAGTTGCTTGCTCTGTGGGATCAGTTATCTCTTCTAAATCCTGTGATGAGATTTGCTTTCTCAGCCTCAGCTTCCATTTGGAAACAGCAAAGCTGAATTATTCCACTGCATTTCCAATGAAATTCAAAATTGACATTTCAGTTAGCTGCCGTTTTATTAGCTTTGAAGGAGGTAAACCTCTATACAACCACTTTGCTTTTTATTTCAAATGTTATAACTAACTGCTAATTTCCTGCACTTGGCGAGCCACTTTTAAAGAAAGAGAAAAAAGAGGCGATATTTTCCTATAAATATAATTCAAAAACTGTCCCTAATTTCTTATATCCTCTCTCTCTCTCTCTCTCTCTCTCTCTCTCTCTCTTACACACACACACACACACACACACACACACACACACACTTTAAGATAGGCATGCCGAAAATGAATTTTCTTATGGAATAAGTTAAGAAAACTGCACACACAAAACTGAAGAGACCAGAGCTTTACTGCTGGGTTATGCTGGGGATTCTGGGGCAGATTACATTTTACCCCAGTTTGTTTTAACACGTAGTACTTCTGAAAAGGGTTAGGCATCAGGATGCTCCCTGGGGAGCACCAATCTGGCAAAAGCTTGATATTTGCACAGTTCACAAAGACAGTAGAGATCTCCTGACATCCCTCACTTTGATGGTTCGACAGATACCCAAGGACCAAGATATTCCCTGGCATTTGGTAGATAGCCCCCCACCAAACAAAAACAAAAACAGAAACAAATCCAAGCCAGAATCTGAAAGACAAAGTCAGTGGCCAGAATGATTGGGAAAGAATCTAAAGAGCTCAACAGAGCGCCACACCTACGGGAGTGCAAGGCCCAATGAGGACTAACTAGGGAGAAATTTACTGATAGTCAATTTTTTCTCAGAGTCCAAAATGAAGCCCATATACACATTTTCAGTCTGAGACACCTGGTAACTCCTAGATAGTAAGGGCGAGATCTGTGGTGGACCACGAGCGAGGCTATGGACCTGCCACTAAGTGAGCCAATAACTCTTGAACCGGTCAGAGGGAGTGTATTTACCAAGTGCACATTCCTTACAGGTTCAGCCTGTGATAGGTTCAAAAATGTCCACCTCAATACAGATCACTCCAGTCTCTGCCATAGGGTCAGAAAATCCCACTAGGCCTCTCCTACTCTTGGGAGTCCTTTCTCACTTTCCCTTAGCAAATTTACATCCGTGGCTTTGGAGGCCATCCATCATCCAGTACCATTGCTATAAGAATAAAATCTGACGGTTCATTCAAAGGTATCTTGAGCCAGCCTTGGTCCAAACACAGATGAACAGGAAAAAAATGGTTTCCTGCCAGTTGTTAACACACACACACACACACACACACACACACACACACACACAATCAAACCAGGAGATTAGAGTGGACGTTTACTGACAGCCAAGCTGGCCCAGCATGGTCATGCACTTGGTAGGTTCGAAAGTAAACAGGACATAAAATAAAGAGATGAATCCACACACATTGTTGTTGTTGCTGTTGTTGTTGTTGAGAGGCAGCATGGGCGAGCGTGTAAATTGTGCTCTCCTCTCTCCTCCATGGAACCAGCCATTCTGGGCTGAGGCCCAGCTCTGCAAAGCTGAAAGTAAGCTGTCTCACGTTTGCTGCTCTGACCATCCAGGGCTCTAGTATGAAGTCAGGATCTCGGTTTCTCACCCTAGCTTCCCAGGTAACTTCACCCAGAGCCTCTCAGAACACCCACATCCACTTCTCCGCTTTGCCCAATAGGAAAGGGAACAATTGCTGCTCGCCGAGTGGGAAGGTGAGGGAATTGTCTCAGGGAAGGTAATTCTGCCCCCGTGTGGGACCACTCAATCTCGCTCCTCCCATCAGGACTCTTATCGTGAGGGTCTTCTGACTGGCCACCAAAGTTCTTACTGAAATTCTTAGGGTCAGGAGCCTGCGCCCTGGTAGCCCTGATGAGCT